TTCTCCTTGTGCCCTCCATCTTTCCCAACATCAGGGTCTTTTCCAGGGAGTTTTCTCTTCTCATGAGGTGGCCAAAGTATTGGAGCCTCAACTTCAGGATCTGTCCTTCCAGTGAGCACTTAGGGCTGATTTCCTTCAGAATGGATAGGTTTGATCTTCTTGCAGTCCATGGGACTCTCAAGACCACTCCCCAAAACATGATACATACATCACAGGGAGGCGAAATCCTGTCTGGCAGAATACAATTTAAAGCATTTTGGTTCCCTCAAAGAATCCTGGGAACTGTAATTATATATATATATATATATATATATATATTTAAAAGTCTTCTAGGAATTGTAGCTCTGCGAGAGGTCAAATACAGTTCCCATGATTCTCTGGGGGAAAGCCAGGCTCTCCCATCTCTCCAGCTCTGATCAGGCCTGGGGAGATGCCGGAGTAATGAATATTCCTGGATTGAGGCGGGCCTGACACGTGTTTTACAAGTATGTGTTAGATGCCTGTTATAATGCATAATTGGTAGCATTGATCAGACCCGGCCACCAACGCTTAAGAGAATCGATTGGCAAAATCTGCCTACTAATTGAGGCATTTGTCATCTTGTCCAAGTCTGGGTGGGGAGGGGAGGAAGGGACAGGGCAGAGAGGTGAGATACAGCTTTGCTGGAGAATCACTGTTCTTGGGGTTCTCATCTCAGTCCCTGCCTCCCTTCAGCAACTGCCATTGGTTCTCTAGTGCCTTTTCCCGTCCCCCTAGTACATGGGTAGGCCAACTAAGATCCAGAAGCCAGATCCGGCCCAATCGCCTTCTAAATCCGACCTGTGGACGGTCCAGGAATTAGCGTGTCATGTAAAATGTGTCCTTTTATTTAAAATGCATCTCTGGGATATTTGTGGGGCCTGCCTGGTGTTTTTATATGAGTAGAATGTGTGCTTTTATTTAAAATGCATCTCTGGGTTATTTGTGGGGCATAGGAATTTGTTCATTTTCTTTCTTCAAAATATAGTCTGGCCCCCCACAAGGTCTGAGGGACAGTGGACCGGCCCCCTACTGAAAAAGTTTGCTGACACCTGTCCTAGTCTTACCCCTTTGTATGGTGATGGAGGGATTGGCAACAGAAGCAAGTAGTTAAGACCTAGTCCGTCCACCTTGCTCTCCATTTCTTGAACTCAGTGCCGGATTTACGTATAAGCTAAACAAGCTATAGCTTAGGGCCACACTCTCTTGGGAGCCCCCAAAAAATTAAAGAAAAAAACTGGATGTACATTTCCAAAATAAAAGATAAAAACAAATAAAATGGCTTTAGATACCTATTAGGTCCATAATATAACATATATCCAACACAAAAAACAGCTACAATTTGTTGTTGACAAACGACAGTTGGACATATAAAGAGCCCCATTACCTTCAGTAGCTTAGGGCCTCATCAAACCTAAATCCGGCCCTGCTTGAACTTGATTAGCTTCTGCTTCTTGTGTGCATGTGTGTGACTCAGTGCTCCTTCTGGCTGTGATGTCTACAGAAGTGGGCAAACGTGAGTGTGTGTTGAGGGCCGACATCAGGGGAGGGAAGCCAGTTCTAGCCTTCTTCCCTCCCTACCCTGTTAGCCTTTCCTTGACGTGAGCTCTGACAAGCCTGAAAGATCGATACTGCTGACCTTTGGTAGAGCTGAGGATCTGATGCATGACAGGTCAGGTGTGGCAGAACATAGGGTTGCCGTATTTCAAAACGTAATAACCAGGACACCCCAAATGTTGTGAACCCCCCCACCCCAAAATTGTTGGGCTTGTTTTAGACAAACCCCTAAGTTGTTGAGCTTTTTTTTTTAAACAAAAACACCAGAAAACCTGTGAATTAGGACCATGCTACAATCCTACTAACAATTGCCCTACAACTAAGCGCCTTAACTTAGAAGTCAGTTCCACTGAAATCAATGGAACACAACTCAATTACAAGCCTAACAATTGCCTTATGAAGTAGGTAACCAAAAATTTAGACTGTGACTCCTCAAAAGCCACCCAATTCCAACTAAGCTTCTATCCAAACCCAGGTCCCAACACAGTAGGGTTGCCATATTTGAAAAAGTAGAAACCAGGACACCCTGAACGTTGTTGAGCTGTTTTTAGACAAACCCTTAAGTTGTTGGGCTTTTTGAAAACAAAAACGCCAAAAAATGCAATTTTTTGGTTGGCTTGCCTAAGATCCAGGACAAATCCTGGTTCGAAACTACAAAATCAGTTATGTCAGGAGCAAAAGCCTTTACCTTCTCTTCTACCCCTTCTTCTTTTCAAAAAAGCTGAAGGTGCATTAGATTTTGAGGCAACATTTACAGGGCTCATTTTCCTAAGAAATCATGCTTATTCCTCAAAATGTTTACAGTGGTGCCTCGCAAGACGAAATTAATTCGTTCCGCGAGTTTTTTCGTCTTGCGGTTTTTTTCGTCTTGCGAAGCACGGTGTCGGAAAAGTTTTGGAAAAGCTTCAAAAATCACCAAAGTCTTCAAAAACCTCAAAAAAGGCTACCACACCGCGTGCTATGAGTTGCTCCTCGAAGTCAAGTCGCAACTGTATTAACGGTGTTAAGAAAAAGGAAACAAACTTGCAAGACGTTTCTGTCTTGCGAAGCAAGCCCATACGGAAAATCGTCTTGCGAAGCAACTCAAAAAACCAAAAACCCTTTCGTTTTGCGAGTTTTCCGTCTTGCGAGGCATTTGTCTTGCGAGGTACCACTGTACAAAGTTCAGCTATTGCAAAAGTTTTTCAGTGTTAATTTTATGCATTTTTTAAAATCACCATGGTATTTAACAATAACATCTTATGTCCTTTAGAGGAGAAATTGCGAATTGCAGAATTTTAAATACCCGTTATCATCCTTGGCTTCACTCAATTTTGTGTATAACACTCTTCCATTTTCTTCTAGTTGTGAGGGTGGGGGATGGGGAGGGGCCTCACAAGTGCAGTAGCCTAGGGCCTCTCTTCATCTAAATCATGCCGTGGTTAGGGGCCCTTTAAACCAGAGCCTAGGTGGAAGTCTGAAAAGGTACGTGCATTATGTCTGCATCCTTGCCTCTGGTATACATAATCTCTAACAGGCCACAGATAGACACAAGCATTGGTCAAATCAGCAAGATGAGAGCAAGCAAACAGCTGAAGAAAGTAAGTGAGCCAAAACTAAGATCAAAGGGCAGGGAAATGGCATGATATCTGCATAGAGATCCTAGTGGTTCAGTCCAAAGAACCAAGCCATGTGATGCGGGAACCTTTTTAGGCAGTGTGATAGGAATTTTGAGGTCTTTGATATATGGTAATGTTCATAACCACACATACATAGATCAGCACAGGAAGACTGACCTGAAGCCATTTTGATTCCTAAACTGAGCAAATGTTTTCTCTGCAAAGTCAAAGTGGAAAAGCCTCTCCATTGTCTTTTTCTTCACAAATCCTGTCTTAAGGGTATGTCTGTGTATGAATAGGGTGTGAGCCTGTGACATGGCCCAGGAACTAAGTATTTATCACTACAAAAGAATGGCCAGGCTCCCCAGGCAATCCTATCAAGTAACCTGCCAGACAAGAGATAAACAAGGACAGGAGAAAAACAACATTCAAATTTCTGTTTTAGACCGCCTTTTCTGTGATGTAGGTGTGATGTATCTGAGGGGTGGTCTTAGGTTACACCCCTTCTGTGATGTATGTATGATGTTTCTGGGGGTGGTCTTGATCTACAGGGTGGCAGTTTCAAAAGTCTTTATAAGGCCTTGCACAGCATTTTTCTGGGTTCCTCCTCCTCTCCTGCAGGTGAGGGCAGCATCCTGTTGCAACAGTTCAATAAAGATCAAGCTTACTAGCTGCTTTGCTTCTCAATATTCTCTGGTTGGCCTCTGTTATTCTCTCCTACCAATAGGGAACCTATGTAAGGACTCCATATGGGCTCTTGGATACCCCATAAGGGAAAAGGGCAGTTTTTATTTACAACAGCAGATGATGGTCAGGGCAGGAGTAAATGGAAGCATTTCAGTGACTCTCCACCTGCTTATTGCCCTCAACCACTGCTTTGGTGCTGAGCACCAGACCAGGAAACCCATGAGCTCAGTTCAGATCCTACACTTGGTCAGATTCCTGGCTGGTGTGTCCATTGCTGCAGTACTGAACGGAGAAATTAAGGACATTGGATGGGTTTGAGCACATTGAACAAGAATCTGCCTTATTTTTGGACCTTGAGCGACACTCAGATTGACATTCTGACAAAGAAAATAATTTATGTACATTGTAAACAGCAGCACATACAAAAAGATACAAATACTTCCCCATTACCGTGTATGCCGTACAGATTCTGTTGAAATCTTATTACAGATAGGATTTTTTTTTCTTTTGTATTGTATTCTTATCTCTTTCTACTCTCAAGAAACACCACACTTTATATTTCTGCAAAGACCGTCTGTTAGTCTGAATCCGAAAGCCAACCTTGGAGTTTTTGTTCTACCCTTCCTTGTCTCATGCAAATGACGCTGTGTACTTCAAAGGCCTTCTGAGATAGATTCTTCCAGCCTCTCAATTATTCTTCACTTGAAAGTCCCTAATTACCTAATTGATGGCTCTTTTCCTGATGGCTTAAAGCCGTCCTTTTGATCTGTGGACCCTGGCAACCACACCCTGCTGGAAAAAAGGAAAAAGTTTACACAGATGCCTTTAGGTCTTCTTTATTAGTGCCTGCATCTGCACATTCACAGGGTTGTGCAATTAGGAAATTAGGCATGCTACCCTGAGAATCCCAGGGGAAATAAAAATTATTATTGTTTAAAAAAAGAGAATCCCAGGGAAAGTGGGATTGGGACTGGCGAAACTGGAATGGGCTATCATGCCACAACCCCTTCACACATGCAGTTTTCTCATATATCTATAGCTGTGTGTGCATGCTTAATAAGAGATCATAGAATCACAGAACTGTAGAGTTGGAAGGGACCCTGAGGATTGTCTAGTCCAACCCCCAGCAATGCAGAAATGTGCAGCTGTCCCATAGAGGGATTGAACCTGCAACCTTGGCGTTATCAGCACCACACTCTAACCAACCACACAGCTATCCAGCTGATGTTTTGAGAATATATTGATTGCCAGCTGATGACCTACATGTCATTCTGATGTCAGAAGAGAGGCTCTGCTTCTTTCAGGATGTGGATGGAAAAGCAAAGTTTTGTGCCCTGGTTAACTTCCTGACACTGATGGCTAAGCTAAAGTTCCGTGTTTATCCAGCACTCATTTACATTTTCTCAAGGAGGTATAATGTGACGCTGTGGTCTAAACCACTGAGCCTCTGAGGTGGGCGGTTCGAATCCCTGCGACGGAGTGAGCTCCTGTTGCTCTGTCCTAGCTCCTGCCAACCTAGCATTTGAAAGCACACCAGCGCAAGTAGATAAATAGGTACCACTGTGACAGGAAGGTAAACGGCGTTTCTGTGCGCTCTGGTTTCCATCATGGTGTTCCATTGCGCCAGAAGCGGTTTAGTCATGCTGGCCACATGACCCAGAAAGCTGTCTGTGGATAAACGCCGGCTCCCTCGGCCTGAAAGTGAGATGAGCACCACAACTGCATAGTTGCCTTTGACTGGTCTTAACCGTCCAGGGGTCCTTTACCTTTACCTTTATATGTGGCTTCACCTCCTCTTCTTTTCTCTTCACAACATCCCTGTGAGGTTGGTTAAACCGAGGGAGTGATTAGCCCAAGGTTACTCTCCTGCCTGCTGTCTATCACAGCTGAATGGCAATCAAAGCCCAGATATCGCTTGTCCAGCCCAAAACTCTGCACTATACTCAGTTACACCCCCTTGGAAGAAGCAGATACATAGCTTGGGGGTACTTTCTGATCCATCACTGTCACTTGATACTCAGGTGGCCATGGTGGGATGGAGTGACTTCCATCAGCTTCTGCTAATGGCCCAGCTACACTCCTTTCTGGACAGGGGTGGTCCAGCTTCTGTTGTCTGTGGTCTGGTAACCTCTAGGTTAGTGCAAAATATGATCTGAATCTCAACATCAAAAAAACTAAGATCATGGCTACTGGTCCCATCACCTCCTGGCAAACAGAAGGGGAAGAAATGGAGGCAGTGAAAGATTTTACTTTCTTGGGTTCCATGATCACTGCAGATGGTGACAGCAGTCACAAAATTAAAAGATGCCTGCTTCTTGGGAGAAAAGCAATGACATACCTATACAGCATCTTAAAAAGCAGAGACATCACCTTGCCAACAAAGGTCTGTATAGTTAAAGCTATGGTTTTCCCAGTAGTGATGTATGAAAGTGAGAGCTGGACCTTAAAGAAGGCTGATCGCCGAAGAATTGGTGCTTTTGAATTATGGTGCTGGGGGAGATTCTTGAGAGTCCCATGGACTGCAAGAAGATCAAACCTATCCATTCTTAAGGAAATCAGCCCTGAGTGCTCACTGGAGGGACAGATCCTGAAGCTGAGGTTCCAATACTTTGGCCACCTCATGAGAAGAGAAGACTCCCTGGAAAAGACCCTGATGTTGGGAAAGATGGAGGGCACAAGGAGAAGGGGACGACAGAGGACGAGATGGTTGGACAGTGTTCTCACTGCTACCAGCATGAGTTTGACCAAGCTGCGGGAGGCAGTGGAAGACAGGAGTGCCTGGCGTGCTCTGGTCCATGGAGTCACAAAGAGTCAGACACGACTAAATGACTAAACAACAACAACAAGGTTAGATTACCACCATACATTATATATGTGGCTGCCTTTGAAGATGGTTCGGAAACTGCAACTGGTACAGAATTCAGCGACCAGTCTGCTCCCAGGGGCAAGATAGTCTGAGCGCATAATATCAATCGTCGCCTGACTGCATTGGTTACTATTCGTTCATTCATTTATTCAAGGACCACTGGGCGGTTTACAATATTAGTTTCTGGGCTCAATTTAAAGTGCTGGTTTTGATCTACAAAGCCGTATGTGGCTCAGTACCCCAGTACTGCCTCTCCCCATACGGACCAACCCAAACCCTGCAAGTGTCATCTGAGGCCAATCTCTGTGTGCCCCCAACATGGCAGGTCTGGAGGGTGGCAACATGCGAATGGGCATTTTCAGTGGTTCCTCCCTGCTTGTGGAATGCTCTCTCCAGGGAGACTTGCCTGGTGCCATCATTACATATCTTTAGACACCAGGAAAAGCCTTCCTTTCCTGCCAGGATGTTGACTTTTAATTATCTGTGGCCTCCTTTAGTGGATGGGATGTTTTAATCTTGCCTTTTAAAAAGATGAAGGTGCTTTGGATTTTTCTATGCTTTGTTTTATGGCAGTTTTAAAATATGTTGTTTACTTGTTGTTGTACATTGCATTGGCAAACAAAGGTGACTAATAAGTTTAATATAAATAAATAAATAAATATTATTATTATTTGCTTGTTTTGCTTTCTAAATAAATATAGCATGATTGATCAAACTCTTCTGATATTTGGTCTTCTATTGGTCTTTGCATCTTGATTTTATCTTTCTTTATTAATTTAGCATTGTACTGTGATTGGGTTTTTTTATTGTGCTCGATTTTTAGGCAGTCTTGTTTATTTTTATGGTTTTAAAAAACTTTTTTACTGTTAGCTGCCCAGTAGACATTGTTAATTCGGTTGTATATGGACGATGTAAGTAAATAAAACAAAAGCTTTAAATGCTGCTGGGATTTGTGCCACTAAGTATTTATTGGGGAGAGAGCCTGGAAAGCCTTCAGGATGCAAGGAATGGCATCGATTTCTCAAAGTAGGTTAACTTTCACTGATGCAACCAGGTTTTGGCTGTGTTCCTGGATCTTAGGCAATTTGTGGGCTGGTATCCCAGGACGGACCAATGGAGACTGAGTCCTTCGTTGTCTTATTCCCATTCTGTATATGCAAATACCTGGTGCCATGAGCTGTGTCTGAGGGGTGAAGAGAGATCATGTAGCCCAATGATTATACACTGTATCGAGCTACAGACAGATTTTTGCTTCATGCAACATTTGTCAAGTCCGTTTCTAGTCAAGCCTAGAGACTGAAGAGAGTGAAAAACAACAGGACTGTTTTGCTCCAAATCAAAGATGAGAAAAGAGAACCTTTCCTCAATTGATCAGGGATCATATACAATATTTTCCTAATCTTAACCAGTTGACAACTGAATGTAAGCTGAGACACGGGTGGCGCTGTGTTCTAAACCACTTAACCTCTTGGACTTGCCGATCAGAAGGTCGGCGGTTCGAATCCCCATGATGGAGTGAGCTCTGTCCCAACTCCTGCCAACCTAGCAGAAAGCATGCCAGTGCAAGTAGATAAATAGTGGTTTAGTCCTGCTGGCCACATGACCTGGAAAGCTGTCTGTGGACAAACGCTGGCTCCCTTGGCCTGAAAGTGAGATGAGCACCACAACCCCATTGTCACCTTTGACTGGACCAAACCGTTCAGGGGTCCTTTACCTTTTTTAACCTAAGCTGGAACCTGAAAACACAATAACAGGTGTATCATACTGTGGAACCCCTTGCCATTGGAGTTGAGTGAGAGACAATAAATTTCCTCTACGGTGGGCCTCTCATCTGCCTCAGGCAAGAGATTGGTTTGTGTATGTGTGTTTGTTCTTCTTTTATTCTTTGCCTGCGGTAAACTACCTCACTCTGTCAGTAACTCCTCTTGAGTTGAGTTTGTTTGTGTGCTGGGCTGGATGGGCCAATCCTGACCTCCCTGCCGTCCCTATAGCTGCCTGCCTGACAGCCCCATCACTCGCCCAATTGCCTGTCAGGTACCTGTCTCTTGGCAGCACATAAACGCCAGCGCCTTTGTTGTCTTTGTTTCCGTGACAACTTGCAAGCAGGGAAATGGGATGAAGGACCTAGCCTGCCCCGCTAGAGAGGATGGAGGAGCAGGGAAGGGTTCTACACCCTTCATATGCTGGGCTTTAGCATCCTTTGCATATAGCAATATTAGTTCTAATTCCCTCAGTGCACACCAGCAAATCCAAACGTTCCCAAATTTAGAAGCTAGATCTAGTGAGTCTGGAACTCTTTGGGAAGACTCCATCTTGCACACCCACCTTTTGTTATAATGTATAATATTAAAGTAGCCGCAGAACTGGCATCACGTGTCCTGAGAAAAAGAGTTGTGTGCGTGTACGGCTGTGGTTTCTGTGAGTAAATCTGTGTGTGTGCATTTCTCTGCATTACTGTATGCTGCATCTACTTGTATGTATGCTTGTGACCTTGGGCCAGTCATGGTGTCTCAGCCCAGTCTATCTCACTGGGTTGCTTTGAGGCTAAAATGATCAGGGGGAGAATCATATGTGCCCCCCTGAGCTCCTTGGAAGAAAGATGGGACACAGAATTAAATAATACACATATCTCTGCATGCATGGCATTGCTTATACCTATACATATGCTCTAGCTATGCATACTTATTTTCATGCATTTGTGTGCATTTATAAATGTCTATTGTGTGCATTTAGAAATGGGACACGGGTGGCGCTGTGGGTTAAACCACAGAGCCTAGGACTTGCCAGTCAGAAGGTCGGCGGTTCGAATCCCCGCGATGGGGTGAGCTCCCGTTGCTCGGTCCCTGCTCCTGCCAACCTAGCAGTTCGAAAGCACGTCAAAGTGCAAGTAGATAAATAGGTTCCGCTCCAGCGGGAAGGTAAATGGCAGTTCCGTGCGCTGCTCTGGTTCGCCAGAAGCGGCTTAGCCATGCTGGCCACATGACCCGGAAGCTGTACGCCGGCTCCCTCGGCCAATAAAGCGAGATGAGCACCACAACCCCAGAGTCGGTCACAACTGGACCTGTCAGGGGTCCCTTTACCTTTACTTGAAATGTCTACATGCACATGTGCTTTTCTGCATGTATATTTGTAGGCACTTGCACAGACAAGTGCACACACTTTAGATGTGCATTTGTGTGTATTTGTACATATGTAAAAAGGTAAAAAAAAGGTAAAGGACCCCTGGACGGTTAAGTCCACTCAAAGGCGACCATGAGGTTGCGGCACTCATCTCACTTTCAGGCTGAGGGAGCCAGCGTTTGTCCGCAGACAGCTTTCTGGGTCATGTGGCCAGCATGACTAAACCGCCTCTGGTGCAGTGGAACACCGTGATGGAAACCAGAGCCACAGTGGTACCTATTTATCTACTTGCACTGGCGTGCTTTCAAATGCTAGGTTGGCAGGAGCTGGGACAGAGCAACAGGAGCTCACCCCGTTGCAGAGTTTCAAACTGCCGACCTTCTGATGGGCAAGCCCAAGAGGCTCAGTGGTTTAGACCACAGCGCCACCCGTGTCCCTAATGTACATGTGTATGCACATGCCTGCTTTGCTTATATGTTCATGCTGTTGTGCACAGACTTCATTTGTAATATACATGTCAACACTGTGATAGAACATTTTCATTGCTGGAATTAATTCAAATACTAATTCATATTTATAGTGTGAGATTTTTAAACAATGTGTGTTCACATAGACTTGTCTGTGTGTTTGCTGTTATTTTATTAGGCACTTCGCTGGGGTTATCTAACCGGCTTTTCAAGAATAAGAGGTACACTGTACTGTTTGTTTTGTAATATTCAGGAATAAGGAGAAGCCTTTTAAGGCTACAATACTAAACACGCTTACCAGTGAGTAATTCACATTGAACAAAGCGGAACTTACTCCTGAGTAAACCAGCCTACGCTTGCACTATGAAATAAGGACTGCCTCTTTAAATAGCAGGCATTTCAAAGAGCCCTGTGCTTGGCAAATGGCAACACTTCAGTCAAGGAATTCTTCCCCCTCCTTCCCCCGAATCTCTAGACTCAAATGTTCCTCCTTCCCACCCCAAAGTCTGTCTGACAGCCCCATCACCTGCCTGTTTACCTGTCAGGTATTTATCTCGTGGCAATGGGGAAATGCCAGCAATATATTTCTATGACAACACACAAACAGGGAGTTGGAATGAAGGGCTTAGACTGATCCAGCAAAGTTGAATGCATAGAAATGAGAGGTTGAGAGCGGAAGAAAGCTAAGCTGAGCATCCTTCGCTAATTGCTTTCTTAGTACTTGGGGCATATTAATGGTCCTTAGCTCAGATGACAGGTTGGTGGACATGGGCAGAGACAGGGACAGGATTCTTCAGGGTACCGGTGTTCGAGATTCATCCTGAGCAGAAGAGAGCTTTTGAAATGCTTGCGCGTCTTGAACGCTGGTCTCACACACAAACACACACACCCCCTATCCGACCCCCAAGTGGGAAAAGGCAAATTTGACAGTTTAAAGCCAGATCTTTTACTCAATCGATCAGTGTCTCGAGATGAGTCCCCCCCACCCCTCGGCAATCGATCTTCTCAAAGGAGTAGGGCAGGAAATCTTTAATGGATGTAAGAAACACAGTCTATGGGGCGTGATTGTGTGTGTGTGTGTGTTCAAAACGACCTGCTGGGATGAGACAGAAGGAGAGCCAGAACTGCCCTGTCACCTGGTGTCATTTGCTGGGGCGGGGGGGAGAAACGACTTGGAAGCGGCTAAGCTGGAGGGTTAACGCATTAGGAAAGGCTTGTGTCGTGTACAGCAGGGCCAAGAACCAGGCCCTGTTTCTGCAGACTTGGCTCACAGCCCTCCTCTTTCCTCCCCGTACTTCCTCCTCCTCCTCTTGGCTAGCCGGTGTCTGGTTTGAGGAGGCTCTCGTGGTCTGTCTGCGCTTGGCTGGTCTCCATCCTTCACTGCTTCTCCTGGATCCCCAGTGGGACGGCTCAGCTCAAAGCCAGCCAAGCATTTGTGCTTTGGCTCTGGAAGATTCTTGCTTGTCATTCCGGTGGGACTCACTGTCTTGGAACAGACAGACAAGGAGGACTGCACCTCCGTCCAAAGGTGCTGGGCAATATTTGGATGAATGATGGATAGATGTGGGAACGGAGCCGGAGAAAAACCCCACACCGACAGGAGAGAGGCATAGTTGCTGCTGCTGTTCATATCTTCCTCCTGCTCTTTGTTGTTGTTATTGCCTGTTGATCTCACTGGAGGGACCCATTTACTCCGGACGGAAGGCATTCTACATACTTCCTTTATTCTCCATGTCAGATTTTGCTTTGTTTTGTTGCCGTAGTTGGAAAAATACTCTTGCTCTTAAGTTATTTAGGGAACAGTATACTTTTCCTATATACAGTCCGACCTTGGATCCCCAACACCTGCGAGTTGAACGTTTTGGCTCCTGAACGCTGCAAACCCGGTGTTTCGGTTTGTGAACATTTTTTGGAAGCAGAACGTCCAATGTGGCTTCCGCAGCTTCCGATTGCGCGCCTTGGTTGTCGAACATTTTTGGAAGTAGAACGGACTTCTGGTATGGATTCCGTTTGACAACCAAGGTACAACTGTACAGTAGGCCCGCACATTTAACTTATACACATTCAACTTTACGTGCTTGGCAAAAAAAAAAAAAAGGATTTTTTTTTTAAAGGGGGCAGGCATCAGTGGGAGGGGGGGAGGCTTTGGCAATCCCACCCGCCATTGCACCCAATGTGTTTTAACTACATTCACTTTTAATTTGTTTCCCGCCTTTCTATATTTCTATACAGAAGGCGGTTTACAGCAACAAAATATATAGCACACACCTTATAGTAATCTGCTCCAATACAAAAAGTCATAATAAAACATAACTTTAAAGTGGAACGACTTATATAAGATAAAGTAATATTCAATAATCCATTAGAATATAAGAGTACACAAGAAAAATAACTCTCAAAACATCAGCAAATAATAATTAAACAGAAGTTCACTCTTAACAATTACAAAAAGTAACAACTAAACTATGATCAACAAAAACAACTGCAAGTCACAACGCATAAAACGTCACAATACATACAAAACCATATTAAAAGATCAAATTGAGAAATAAAGACACACAAATTGTACAACAATTTTTGTAAAAATAAATAAATCCCTAAACTCCTCTTCTCCCTTCCCAGCTTCCTCTGCTGTTCTTAAAGTCATGGCCTGGGAGCGGCTAATGTGATCTTTGCTTTAGGCAGGATCTCCAGAACATAACCCTCCATGTAAGTTGTGGGCTTGCTGTACTGTAGTATAGGGGTAGCCAAAGCATGGTACCTTCCAGATATTGTTGGCATTCCCATCACCCCTATTGTCTATAATGGCCAGGGCTGGGGGGAATTGGAATCCAACAACATATGAAGGGTACCAATTGGCTATCCCAGCCTTGGAGACTTTGTTTATTTGGCAAAATTTATATACCACTTGATTGCAGTAAAGCCTCTAACTGGTATACAAGAAGAAAGGGATGCGGGTGGTGCTGTGGTCTACACCACTGAGCCTCTTGGGCTTGCGCATCAGAAGATCAGTGGTTTGAATCCCCAGGATGCGGTGAGCTCCCGTTGCTCTGTCCCAGCTCCTGCCAACCTAGCAGTTCGAAAGCACACCAGTGCAAGTAGATGAATAGGTACCACTGTGGTGGGAAGGTAAAGGCATTTCCGTGCGCTCTGGCTTCTGTCACAGTGTTCTGTTGCACCAGAAGTGGTTTAGTCATGCTGGCCACATGACCCAGAAAGCTGTCTGTGGACAAATGCCGGGTCCCTCGGCCTGAAAGTGAGATGAGCGCCGCAAACCCATAGTCAACTTTGACTGGACTTAACCGTCCAGGGGTCCTTTACATTTACCTTTTTATACAAGAAGATGACCACACAAGAGTTTTCTGGGCCTTGAGAAGGGCCTCAGGAGGCACCTAGGAGAAGGGACAAAAAGCATCAAAACGGGTCAGGCCAAAGGCCCATCAAGTCCACCATCCAGTTCTCACAGTGGCCAACCAGTTGCCTATAGGAAGCCCACAAGCAAGACAAGAGCCCAAGAGCGTTCTCTCCACTTCTGATTCCCATCAGCTGGTGTTTCTTCAGAAGTTGTGTGTGTGTCATGTAGTGGTTAAGGTACTGGACTGAGGCCTGGGAGACTTTGGTTCCAATCTCCACTCAGCCATGAAGGTCACTGGGTAGGTAAAGGTAGGAAAAGTTGCTGAGCTTTTTTTGGCAAAACTGCAAATGACATTCTTTGGCTATTTTTGTGGGAAGTTGGCAAAAACGACACTGCCGACATGGGTTGCCATACGTCTGGATTTTCCCTGACATTTTTGCTGATTTCTGCCCAGACACTGCTGCTGATGGCGGCATTCCAGATACATCAGGGAAATTCCGGGCAGATGGCAACCCTAGAAACAGACTGCTGCACCTTTAGAGTGCTCTCTGCTTGGAGAATTGCAGTCTGTGTTTTTCTTGGAGCAATTATGCCTGGTGTTCCAAAGTCAGGTGTGGTGTGTTAACTGTCTTGTTCCATGCCATTAAGAACATCAGAAAAGCCCTGCATCATCCTGGTCTCACAGTGGCCAACCAGATGCCAGCGGGAAACCTGTGCCAGGACTTTATCCCTTCCCATTCATCCCCACTCCCCATATTTCCGACTTTGATGCTTTCTTCCCCCTTCTAGATGACACCACTCGCCGTCCTTTCCCTAAACCTCACACCGCAGCAGTGGGAACCTTTGATTGCGTGCTGAGGCCCTAGGTCCCGCAGTTCCCTTAGATAATAAACACACGGACACAAATATTTGGAGTTAATGGGATAAAATAGGCCACAACTTTATTGGGTACAGATGTGAGCGGTTTGGCTTAGGCATTGGGTGAAACCGGACTATATCACCACTCCTGCCCATCTGCAGGGAGTCCCACTAAGGGTAAACCACCAGTAGGGGGAGCCGTATGACATACGTCAAATAGGGTCACCCCACGGGGTCCCCATTGGGGTAATAATAATAATAATAATAATAATATATTATTTATACCCCACCCACCTGGCTGGGCTTCCAACAAAATATTAAAAAACAGTAATGCATCAAACATTAGAAGCTTCCCTAAACAGGGCTGCCTTCAGATGTCTTCTAAAAGTCTGGTAGTTGTTGTTCTCTTTGACATCTGGTGGGAGGGCATTCCACAGGGCGGGTGCCACTACCAAGAAGGCCCTCTGCCAGGTTCCCTGTAACTTCGCTTCTTCCGGGGGGGGGGGGGACCACCAGAAGGTCCTCAGAGCTAGACCTCAGTGTCTGGGTAGAACGATGGGGGTGGAGACGCTCCTTCAGATACAGCATGGCCCTAGCCCACGCCCAGGCTTCAGGCAAGATCCACACCCCCAGATCCCTTTAACAGGATACAGCCACCCCTCCATCCAAACAAAGGCTTACCCAATGCCTAACCTTACAGAGTTGTGACAATTGCTACAAGGTAGGTGAAAACCCAATGGCTGGTGCCAATTTGCCAAGTGGAAAAAAAATCCTACCTTGCCCCAACAATATGGCGGCTGACATTAGCCCATAGCAAGGCCGCTGTCATAGCATCACATAAGAAGAGGGCGGGTGGGCTGGGAGATCCGGCGAGGAGGTGAAATGAAGACGCCCCCCCCGGCCACGTCGCCATTTAAACAGCCAGCGGCCACGTCCCTGGCTGTGCCAATTGGTCAGCCAGGGGGCATGAAGTGGCCGGGAGTCCCTATGATGCAAGCGGCATCCCTCCGCCCTCCAGCCGGGTCACTGGAAGGTCCTGGGACCCCTGCCACAATACCGTCCACCGGGGAAGCTGAGCGGGCTTCACGGAAAGCCACTTTGTGTGGGGGCTAACCCTAGATACATCCTACTGGGGAGGGCTGAAAATCCAGGTGTGCAGCGAGCAGAGTTAACATCTGTGTCAATCACAGGACGAGGACCTGCTAATCAGCAGCGGTGATTCAGGGCCATGCTTTACCGCCAGCTCCTAGGGGGATAAGATGGCACTAAGAGGCAGCACTTCCGCATTAAAATTCATCAGCCTGTTAAATATTTAAGACTCTCCCCCCTGTTCTATCCAAGCTCTATTCCCATGAAAGTGGACTCCACTTACCTTCCATATCTGGGAATGAAATGCTGTAATCTTACTTCCCATCGCAGGCATTTAAACCCCTCTTCCTTTCCCAGAAGGAAGGATTAAACCCAGAAGTTCTGGCTCCCGGCCGGTCTGTTTTAACTGCTTCTCCCTTTCTCTGTGACCTCACTGTCTCTGCGCATAGCCATCAATTCCCTAATGGAGCTGTGATGCTGATAACTCCTGCCAGCTAAGCAGGACCAGAACTTAGGGTGATGCCTAGAAAAAGGTTTTGTTTTGGTTCCTAACTCTGTTTGCTGAAGGCATAATGCGTAGAGGAGGGCTTTCAGAGGAAGAAGGGTTTTTCTCACCTGTCAACGTCACTGTTAGGCCACTAAGTGAAATTATTTGATCGGGTCAGGGAATACACAAAAGCTGCAAGAGGTCCGGATCTGTGCCACAGCAGCCTGCACACTCTGCTCATGCCAACCCAGAAGAAAACATGTGGAACCGAGTCTGCAGTTTGCTCCGAGAAAAGCTAAATTCCTGACTTACACAGTACAGTATATCTGGTACAAACATGTGAAATAGTAGCAACAAAGGCAGCCAGTGCCAAATCAAAGACTGCACCTTTTGTGAAGGTGAGGAACACCTATTAGCAACATTGGCCCCTCCAGTGGTCATTTCAAGGGTGCATTCATGATTATTTGTGCTCATGATTATATTGGGGTGGTCATACAGAGCCTAGGACTTGCCGATCAGAAAGTCGGCGGTTCAAATCCCCGCAACAGGGTGAGCTCCCGTTGCTCGGTCCCAGCTTCTGCCAACCTAGCAGTTTGAAAGCACGTCAAAGTGCAAGTAGATAAATAGGTACCGCTCCAGCGGGAAGGTAAAGGGCGTTTCCATGCGCTGCTCTGGTTCGCCAGAAGCGGCATGGTCATGCTGGCCACATGACCCGGAAGCTGAACGCCAGCTCCCTCGGCCAATAAAGCGAGATGAGTGCTGCAACCCCAGAGTCGGCCACGACTGGACCTAATGGTCAGGGGTCCCTTTACCTTTATGTCAGGCTTCAGGGAATAGGCTTTCTCCCCCCTTTGGCAGTAGATAAGCAGAACAAAGGAAAAGGAGTCTTCTTACCAGTTAGAAACTTTAATGATCACAG